CAAATAATAGTAATAAAAAAAAAAAATTAATAATATTAATTTTCACTCTTGGTGTGTGTTGTTATTTTTATAAACCCAAATCATCTAAAATTTTTTTATTTTATTTTTATTTTTTTTATAATAATTTTTAAAAAATAATAATAATTATTTTAAAAAACAAAACAAAAAAAACAAAAAAAAAAAAAATATCAAACATTATATATATATAAATAATATATAAATATAATATTTATCACCTTTCTTTTTATCTCATTTAAAAGTTTTATTAAACCTTATTTGATTATTTTGATTATAAATAATTTTTTTGTATTGTTATAGTTTTTTTTTATTGTTTATTTTTATTTTATTTTTTATTTTTATTTTTATTTTTATCAATATTTATTTATAGCACATATAAAAAATTTAATTAAACCATATATTAATTTTTTTTATTTTTTTTTTTTTTATTTTTTTTTTTAAAAATTTTAAAAAAAATTCAAATTTTTTTAAAAAACAACAATAACAATAACAACTTTTTTTTTAAACACAAATCCAAAAGAAAAAAAAAATGGGTAAAGGTCAAAGTAAAATTAAAAATGGTGGAACAGGTAAAACTAAAACTAGTAAAGGAAAGAAGAATAAAGATGAAAACTCAAATAATAATAGTTTAACCAATTCACCAAATACATCAACTGGTAATCTTAGTGTTGCCACAACAGCATCAACCACAACTACAGTAACATCTGAACAACAAACAGCTCAAAATAAATCACAACAAGAATTAAACGCAAATAATAATGGTAATAACAGTAACCCAAGCACAAACAACACAACACCAGCAAATACATCAACAGGTAATCTTTCAGCACAAACTACAGAACAGCAATCAAATATAAATAATATAGATAATTTATTAAACAGTAATGGTGCAACTGAAGCATCAACATCACCAGACTCATTGGGAATCGGTAATGGAGATGACAACGAAGATGAAGGTCCAGAAGAAATTATTTTCTCAAAAAATAAACAATCAGCTACCAAGGATGATTTCGAACTCTTAACAGTCATTGGTAAAGGTAGTTTTGGTAAAGTCATGCAAGTTAAAAAGAAGGGTGAGGATAAAATTTTTGCTATGAAGGTTTTACGTAAAGATGCAATTATTGCTCGTAAACAAGTTAATCACACAAAATCTGAAAAAACAATTTTACAATCAATTTCACATCCATTCATTGTTAATTTACATTATGCATTCCAAGTATGTAGAGTTATTAGAGAAACCTTGTTAAAATTTTTTTTTAAACTTATTAATTCATTTTTTATTTTTTTTTAGACTAAAGATAAATTATATATGGTTTTAGATTTTGTAAATGGTGGTGAATTATTCTTCCATTTAAAGAGAGAAGGTAGATTTTCAGAACCAAGAGTCAAGATTTATGCAGCTGAAATTGTATCAGCATTAGACCATCTTCACAGACAAGATATTGTATATCGTGACTTAAAACCAGAAAATATTTTATTAGATTCCGAAGGTCATATTTGTATTACTGATTTTGGTTTATCTAAAAAGATAGAAACTAACGATGGTACTTTTACTTTTTGTGGTACTCCAGAATATCTTGCACCAGAAGTTCTTAATGGTCATGGTCATGGTTGCGCTGTTGATTGGTGGTCATTGGGTACATTACTTTATGAAATGTTAACTGGCCTTCCACCATTCTATTCTCAAAACGTTAGTATGATGTATCAAAAAATCCTTAATGGCGAATTAAAAATACCAACTTATATTTCTCCAGAAGCTAAATCATTACTTGAAGGCGTAAGTATATTTAATAGAATAGAAATCATTATTGTCTCTATAAAATTTTTTACTAATTAATATTTTTTTTTTTTTTTCATAAAAGTTATTAACAAGAGAAGTCGATAAAAGACTTGGAAGCAAAGGTGGTGCTGAAGTTAAAAAACATCCATGGTTTAAGAATATTGATTGGGAAAAATTAGATAGAAAGGAGGTAGAAGTTCATTTCAAACCAAAAGTTAAATCAGGAACAGATATTAGTCAAATTGATCCACTTTTCACTCAAGAAAGACCAATGGATAGTTTAGTTGAAACTTCAGCTTTAGGTGATGCTATGGGTAAAGATAACAATTTTGAAGGTTTCACTTATGTTGCTGATTCAATATTAAAGGATTAAAAAAAAAAAAAAAAAAAAAAAAAAAAAAAAAAAAAAGCATTAAAACAATTTCTTTTTTTCAAATTTAAAATAATAGTAATATATAAACCAAAAATCCCAATTCTTTGTTGCGAACAAGATTCAAAAATAAAAATAAAATAAAAATAGTAATAGTAATAGTAATAGTATAGTAATAGTAATAGTAACAGTACCAGTAATAGTAATAGTATAAATAATAGACAAAAAATAAATAATAATAACAGTAAAAACAGTAATTTTGTATGTATTGTAATCATAATTTTAAAAAAAAAAATCAACAAAAAAAACAAAAAAAAAAAAAACAAAAAAATAATTTTTCATATGAAAAAATAAATAAATAATTTCGAAATCTATATAGTAATCATTATGATCAGAATTTAATTCTTTTTTTTATTTTTTTTTATTTTTTTTTAAATATAAATGTTCAATTATACATAATTTTTGGATACTCTTTTTATTTCTATTTAAAAATAAATAATCAACACTAATAGAAAATTAAACATTAAATCTTCATTGTAATGTTTATCTTGAAAGTTATAATCAGATAATTTTTTTTTAAAGGAATACCACAAAAGCAGTTGTTGTATTTGTGGTGGAATCCAATAGAAAAATAAATTAAATAAAAATTAAAATTAAATAAAAAAGAAAATATTGGCAAAAAACAAATGTATTTTTATATATAACATATTGTTAATTTTCATATATCTAAATCTAGTTTATTGTTAAAATAAACAATTAAATTCAAATAAAAAAAAAAATGAAAAAAATAAAAACAATATATAGTTATTACAGTTACAGGATCACATTGAAATATAATATTTATTGAACGTTCGCGCTCACACCAAAACACCACACATTCATAAAAAAAAGAAAAAAAAAACACAAATACTGCCCACACACACACAAATAATATTTCATATTGATTTTTTTCTATTGTATTTATATATAAATGTAATTATTTAACTTTAATTATAGTGAAATTCCCCCAGATATCCCATATATAATTTATTTAAATATTAATTATCAAAAAAAAAAAAAAAATAACAAAGAAAAAAAAAACAAACAATATCATTTTTTTTTTTTTTAATATTTATACATATTGTACATTAATGTATTATTATTCTATAACAATTTGAATCAAATTTGCAAATCATTTTTATTTTGGAC